CTCTCTCTCTCTCTCTCTCTGTCAAACACACGTGCACACACACACACACACAGATACACAGACACACACACACACTCACACAAACACACACACACACACACACACACACACACACACAAACACACACACTTACACACACACACACTCACGACTCACACACGAATGCACCCTACTTTATCCTACGCATCCAGTCATCACGTTCCTCATTCTCGAGAATTGATTTTTGTTTTTGTTTTCGGTGTTTCTATTTTGCTAGACATCACGAGCAAAACCTTCTTCTCTCTCTTTTTTCACTGCACTCTTGCCCCATAGATCCTAAACTAGTAATGTGTATAGCGCCACATTATGTGAACTGCGCAGAGGAACTACATTGATAAAATTATGTGCTTTTGATAATCACAAAAAAAAAGAAAAAGAAAAATACCAAAAACACAATACTCCACATTGGAGTGTCATCAACACGTCAATACAACAGACGGGTGCCTTTTGTGGGTCATTGACAAGAACTTAGTATAGGCCTAATTGTGAAAACGTAGTATCTCCAAGAGGACGCATTGAGAAAGGGAGGACGTTCTTTTGAGAGGCAGTGAAGCGAACCTCCTTTTCAGTCCAAGGGAAGCTTTGTCAGTGCATAAGTTACGGTCGGCAGAATTTGGGTCTCAACTGTCATCTGAATCCCAATAGTCTAGGCATCCCCCCCCCCCACTCCCCTCCCTACCCCTTCCCATCGTCCTTCCTCCCCTCCACCCTTTCATCCCTCGCCCCTCCCCTCTTCCTGGAACACTGGAAAAAGAGCAAGCATTCCAACTATAGAGAGAAAACAAATATAGGCCTATGGGAACCTAGAAAATGTTTCACATTATACACCTTCCCTCCAACATAAAATGTTTTTTTTTAATCTTAAATTTAACGCTTTTAATAGCTAATGACATATATTTTTAATGTTACCAGAGAGCGATATGCAACTTCGTCTAGATCTACGTATAACAATTAAGTTCATTATGACACCCCACCTTTCATACCTTTCAACTATGAAATAAACCTTCACGTCTTAAACGCGAAAAAAGACCCGTGTTTTCTCCCCTAAATTTCCACTTCAAAGAAAAATTCTAAAGATTAGGGGCAAATATAATAATTAGGTCAACTATAATTATCAGGTAAGAGTATCTTGACCACGCGATGAAATTCTTGAGAACTAGCTGAAGCTCGCCACGCCCATGTGAGGGGTGGCAGTCTGAGTCTGAGGCAGTGGTCGTATCTCTACAAAAACACACTGACCATGTGATGGTACTCATATGACCTTATGCAGTTGCGAGCGCCGTAAAACCTTCCTGAAACTAAAACTGGCCGTGTGAAACATAATATCAACCAAAGCGGACCCAAAATGACGGGCAACCTGCCACCTGGACATTGATTGCAACGAGTAGAATAAGAAGTTACTTACCAAAATGCACTCGTCAGTGCGTGCGGCGTGTGGTGTCGACATACGCTCCACTCTGAGCCTCGGTTAGGTAGTAAGTACATGTAGATCTAGATCTAGATCTAGTTGTTCTCCGTCAATAGTTCCTGCAGCAGAGGCTAGAGATATGCCGCATTCTTTCTTTCTCGCTTCCCTCTAGCCTATTACGAAAGTCATAGATCCTAGTAGTCCTGTAGTGTGTCTCGCGTGTCTCGGAAGCTCTGTCGTGTCGTAGCTGTGTCCCTCATCTGCCCGCATCCAGGTCAGAACAATGAGGTCAACGGGTACCACAGAGATGGAAATAAAAGCAAGGGGTGCCAAAGTGATCAATACATTGGGTTGTTGTTGTTGTTGTTGTTGTTGTTGTTGTTGTTGTTGTTGTTGTTGTTGTTGTTGTTGATGCTGTTGTTGTGTTGTTGTTGTCCGTGTTGTTATGATTATTGTTGTGGTAGTGGTGGTGGTTGTGAGTGCTGTTGTTGTTTGTTTATTGTTTTTATTGTTGTTGCTTTTGTTGCTATTGTTGCTTGCGTGTGTTAGTGCTTTAGATGATGACGATAATAATGATGATGCTGATGATGATGCTTTTGATGATGATGATGATGATGATGATGATGATGATGATGATGATGATGATGATGATGCTGATGATGATGCGTTTGATGATGATGATGATGATGATGATGATGATGATGATGATGATGATGATGATGATGATGATGATGATGATGTTACTTTGGGCGCCCTACTAGAAGGAGGGTAATTTCGAAAGTAGAAAACTCTAGGGTGGCTATCATACGTCAAGAATTATAGGAATAAATCTGATAGAGACTAGAAACAAATATTATTTCCGTACCCCTCTGACTGCAGAGCTTTGGCGCAGAGCTAGACCAAGTTCATGACTAAAAGCGTTATCCTAGGCTCTGGGTCAGAGTAGTTAAAACATGTCTCGTTGAACGAAATTTCTCCCAATGTTCTTGTAACAAATCAAGATCAAAAGATTAGACTCCTTATAACTGCTGCTGCTGACATTTTTCTAAAAAGAGGGATGGGGGTGGTGGGTGGG